TGGATTGGTCCTGCGAAATCGACGTGGACGCTGCACCATGGTCGTGTTGGTTTCGGCCATGAATGCAGTTCCGTTTTTACTGGTGACCTTGAAGCCGCAGCACACTTGGGTCAACTTTTAGCCATTTCTTCCAGTTGTCTGTCCATGAATGGCCAGTACACAAAGCTTCGGGCAAGCGCTTTCATCCGGTTGACCCCAGGATGTCCTGCATGAAACTGCCTAAGTACGAGTTTTTGTAGTGCCTTTGGGATGATAACACGTCCCGAGAACAATAGGTAGCCGTCCACGATGGAGATTGCATACCTCCTTCGGTAATACTGCTGCTATTCGGTTGACGAACATGTGCGTGGCCAACTGGTCCTGTTGAATTGTGCGACCATCTTAACTGCGGGGTCACGAAGCGTTTCCGCTCGTACAGTTTCTACAGTCACTGGTAGGTCACGTAATGCGTCAATCACGAGAAATCTGACGTCCGGTTCAAGCTCAACTGTGGCTGTGATCCTGTCTTGTTCCTCTTGTTGTTGGGAGTCTATAAGACGTGACAGTGCATTCGCTTGGCCCATAGAAGCGGTTGTTTGATAGCTGATCTCAAAATCATGGCTCAACAGAGTGAGCGCCAAGCGTTGGCGACAGTTAGCCGTTTAGGTTGGGATGCTATTCTTCGAGCCGAAGATGACCAGCAATATTTTGTGATCAATCAGTAGTTTGAATCAGTGACCATGTAGCATCTTATGGAATTTCTTCACTCCAAAGATTATGGCTAATGCTTCCTTTTCAATCTGACTATAATTTTTCTCGGCTTTTCTCAAAGTTTTTGCCACGTGAGCGATTGCTTTTTAGGATCCATCCGGATGCAAATGCGGAATAACCGCTCCGATCCCGTGATTTGATGCGTCGGTTGCGAGAATGATCTGAGTTGGGTCTTAATAAGTCAACAACATATCTGAGGCCATTAATGACTTGATTCGTTCAAAGGTTTGCTGGCACTCTCTCGTCCAGCTCCAGGCGTGATCTTTGGTCAGAAGCCTGTTCAGCGGGGCACGCAGGCGATGCAACTCAGGCCCAAATGCGATGTAGTGATTGATGAGACCACAGAAGACACGTTACGATTGAATGTCTGCTGGTAGAGACATTTTCCTTATGGCTTCGATGCTTGCCGAATCTGGTCGACAGCCATTATTTTCAAGAATAAAACCAAAGTGTTTGCTGGTCGGAGTGAAGAAAGTACATTTGTCTTCACGAATCCGGAAACCATAAGACTGGATACGACCAAGCACCTCCTCCCGGACAGGCGCCTTGTTTGTGGCACAGGAAGTGGGGGTAAACCACTCAGGACCGTCATTCCACGCACCAGGCTTCGATGGCTGAGCCACGTGTTGCACATGTCAGCCCACCTACTCCCGCGACGTGCGTTGTTTTCGCGCGGAGGTGTGGATGGAAGAACATGTATGGCCAAGCGACGACTTTGTCAAGAGAAATGAAGGCCTTTACTTCGAATTTGGCCTCGTTTAAATCTTTCGGCTTTCTGGTTGCAACCCGAAAGACAAACACGCTTGGCTGGGTATACTTGTTGATATGCCTAGAAGCCGACCTTGGCGTGTGTTGTGTGTTTCTTTGTCTCTTCTCCCGATTAGCCTCCCTCTCCGACCACGATCTCATTTTGGACACATAATACAACTTTTTTTGCAGCACAATAGCCGGCTGTTAGCTTTCCGGAACGATGGCCATCCGCTACTGGTGGCTCAGCTGACGTGCCTCTGGTATGCCTTTTTTATTTTCCCATGTATTGCAGCACAATAACGAGTGT